AAAAAACAATTTAACGGAATCGTAGTAATGAGATTTTTGATGCTGGTTTTTTAACTTTATTTCAAAGATTGGTATAAGGAAAACTTGAATAACTGAACCTAAACTCTTCCGATTTAGACTTTTATTTCTTTGCTAATAAGCTCATTCAAGCGATGAAAGAGAAAGGTTGGGTAAAGGAACATCATTCAAAGTTTAAGATGTGCTGGTATTTGAAAAAAAAGTGGACACGAATTACTTTTTTGCTCATAAATAAAAATAGTGGGAAAATACCTTTCGACCGAGATCCCATAATTCTAAATCAGAATAGTATTGGCCCAGTTATTTAAGTTTTTGGTAAGTCAATCTTTGAAAAAAGTAAAAAAACAGCATCACAAATCTCATTATTACGATTCCGATGAAAATATTTTTAAATATTTTTATGCAGATCTTTTAAGCCTAATCTGTTTTGTCATCTGAGGGGACTTTTTTCAAAAAGTTATTTAAAAAACTATTTTTATTCATAAAAAAACTACATTTTTGGAGGTATTTTCAAATCGGTCCAACTCGCTTAAGCCTTAATATTTTTCCGAAATATTTTGGTGAACGTCTTAGAATATAATAGATTTTGTAATCCCGGCGGAAAAACTGCAACTTTTATTGGTGATGCAGTCTAATGTACGTACATATGTCACTACTTCCCTGCCGGGCTATCCACAAGATATTCATATGAAAATCGTACCTTAGTTAGAATATGTAATAGAAAATATGTTTAAACATAAAAAGATTGTATGCGTTTCTACAGCCCGATTCACTTGAATTGGTACACATATTTTCCTGAAGATCGAAGCTAATATCTGGACTTGTGGGCAGCAGAGAAGTTTCTTTTTGATCTCGTTTTGAAGAATTATTACTTTTGAAGCAAAATGGTGAAAATTAAGAAAACACCTTATTCTCATCTAGTCTGTAATGTGACCAACTATTTCATAGCTAAACGAAGTACAGAAACTGAAAATCAAAAATAGTGTGAAAGTAATGAGAAAATGATAAAAGCAAAATATACAAAAACGGTAACAGTGTTCAAATTCAACAAATAAATTTTATTAATTAAAAATCTATACTATTTATTATTCAAAGACAAGGCGATCTACTAATCGTACAGAGACAAGTCATGTATCAAATTAAAGTGCTCGATCTGAAACGTTGTAAGAGCATTTCAGATTTAAAAATCATTAGACCATTTTTTAAATATTTCCATGGAAAAATTTTTAAAGTTTTACATTGAACAAAGCATTTCTAATTCATTTCAATAGGCAGAAACTGAATATGGAGTAAAAAAGGATGCCCACAGCAACTTGAAAGAGTGTTTTCGGAGCACACCGAATATGAAGTGAGAAGGGAATCGAAGTGTCTTTTGTTATCTTGTTATCTTGTTTTTTTTTTTGTTTAGTCTGTGAATTGAAAAAGAAATTTTCAATCAAGAAGAAACTGATCATCCTTTCCGAATATTCCTGAAAAGATACACCGCAAAAAAAGCTGTTATGGCAGTTTCAAATGCATTTAGAGGTAAACAATAATGCATAATTCCTTTTGTCTAACTTTAGAACTTTTCAGATGTATTTAATAGAAAATATGCTGGATCTGTGAAATAATTCCACGGAGCGGGTGCAAAGTGGTTCCAAACCTAAAAGGAACGGATTTTAAACAAGATAATAATTTTTTTTTTGACATACGTCAGGATTTTTCCGTTTTTATGTTGGTTACTGAATAACATGTAAATCATTTTTTAATTTAGCGTTTTTTTCTATAAAAACATGAAAAGTTTTTAATACTTATTGATTATAAACAAAACTAAGAACATTTTGAATAACCGAGAGGACTCCGCTGGTACTCTGGGTATGATTTTAAAATGCTGGAAAACTTAAAAAAAAACAAGTAAGAAAGTCTAAGTTCGGGCGGAGCCGAACAATAAATACCCGGCGCAAGTATTAAATATATGTTTTTTCACCCTTCCGAAACCTTCCGCTAGATGGTAAGCCGAGGTGTATCAATTTTGAGTAAATTAGCGTCCTTCAATTTCGAAATATTGAAGTTTCAAGCATTTCTTAAATTTACCGTTATATGAGAATCGGCCGTTATTTTAGTCCGATTTCAATAATTTTCAACGTTTTGCTTACACGTGGCAAGTACAATAACCATACCGAGTTTGGTACAAATTGGTAGAACGGTTACCGATATACTTATATGTGATCATAAGTGGGCGGTGCCACGCCCATTTTCCAAAATTTTACCATAAACGTATTTCTTGGTAAAGAATTGTTGCAAGCATCAATTTTGAATAAATTAGCTTCAATATTTACTGATTTATCGAAGATTATGTATTTCTCTAAATTACCGTTATATGGGATGTGGGCGTGGTTATTGAGCGATTTTAAAAATTTTCGGCGATTTTTTATGCTGTACCAAGGCCAACAACTGTGCCAAGTTTGGAAGAAATTGGTGCAGCGGTTACCAAGATATACACATGTAACCATAAGTGGGCGTGGCTACGCCCATTTTCCAAAAATTTATAATATTCTTATTTTTCGTCTAAAAATTATTGTAAATATCAATTTTGAGTGAATTATCTTCAGTAGTTACTAAAATATCGCAGTTTTCGTATTTCTGGAAATTACCGTTATATGGGAAGTGGGCGTGGTTAAAGTCCGATTTCGCCCATTTTCAATACCAACCTACCTTGGATTAAGGGAAACCTACATACCAAATTTCGTTGAGATATCTCAATTTTTGCTCGAGTTATCGTGTACACGGACAGACGGACAGACGGACAGACGGACGGACAGACAGACATGGCTTAATCGATTTCTTTTTTCATCCTGATCATTTATGTATACATTTGTCTATATCTATCTCGATTCGTTTTGGCTGTTACAAACAACCGTTATGTGAACAAAATTAATATACCCTTGTGCACAAGTGCGCTCGGGTATAAAAATCATTCCCGACGAACTATTTTAAATAAATGTGAGATTATTTCAAAATTCTTTTTCGAGTTAGAGAAGGTCGAGAACTCTCCCCAGACTCAAAAATTAAGAAAAGAACAATAAGAGTATATTTTGCGAGATGTAAATTTAGTCGAGTATCAAAACCACTTGAAGGGGTAAGCAATTTCGTGTCCAAAAAATAAGCACTGTACGATAGTTGATAAGGAAATGGTTAATATGTTGCCCGGATAAGAAAATGCTTACTATGGCATTGATACTGTCGATTCTGAATATCCACAGGAGCAAGAAAGATTCGCCAAAGAATTTTTAAACTCTCTAACACCTTTAAATTTTTCTTGATTAAGTAGCCATTTATAATGAAATTTGTCAGCTAGAGAAGTGAAGTGATTGAAAGTCATAACTTATGTGTTTCTCATAGATAAACGTTTCTTAACTGAGATGACTAACCTTTTGAAATGTTTTGAAACAGTTAAAGAAATTTCAACTTAAAAGGTAGTACAAAGGCATATTAAACAGGTATTGGAGCAAAAAAAAAAACATTTACGTGTATTTTGTTGTTGCTTGTCTTATCTAAAGTGTGAACTGTTCTGATTTTGAGTAAATATTAAATATTAAATTTGGAAAAAAGTTGGTGCGACTTTCTTAGTACATTTTGTTTGCTTCTCGAATTATTGATCCATCATATTCAAGGCCCGGGCATCACCGTTTTTGCTGCGGAGTTAGGCGAACGTTCCATAAGTTGGTTTTGTATGGGAAAAGGTTTCACATGCAAAAAGATTTTGGCAATTTTTATTTTTTGTGAGAAGAAATTAAATATATTTGACATTTTAGAGACCAAATAATTTCAAAAAATCACAATCAGCTGCTCTACTGATACTACCTGTTCAATGTGCCTTAGGTAGAACAAAATATTACAAAAAAGTACATTTGACTGTTCTTCGAAGTACGAAGTACAACGGCTCAAAGAGAAGTACTGACTTCCGAAAGAAGTACAGTTGGTCACATTACTCATACGCCAAGTACTTACGTTTGATTTTAACTTTTCTGGTGTAAATGGTAGATCAAACATGGATCTTCCATTTTGAATTTTTAAAATCTGATTTCAGATTCATGATCACCGACCTTTAAAACCCCTACTTTTAAATTTTTTAGCGAATCCAATCGGTTTTGGTTTTTTGTCCGCCATCTTGGGTCTACCATTTTCAATTTTCCAATATGGCTTCAGATTCGTAATCACCGACCCCGAAAGAAACCCCCCCCGAGTAATGAACTCTAAGTGAATCCGCTAAATTCAAAAAAATCTTCCGCCATTTTGGATCCACTATTATGAACTAAAAAAAATTACTTCAGATTCATTATCAGTTGAAGTGCCGAAAAATGGAAAAAATGGCAAATAAAAAAAAAAAACAATTTTAAATAGTATTGTGCCACAGTTTTTCCGAAGAAAAAACCACGTCTTAATGAAAATCCAATTCGTCTGATAGATTCTAACTCATGTCGATTTTTTTTTTTAATTTTCCACCCCTTTTTACTAAATCCATCGACATGAGGTAGAATTGGTCAGACAAACTGAATTTTCATTAATTCGTGATTTTCCTTTGGTAAAACTACATTCAAATCCTATTTGAACCTTTTTTTTTTAATTTAGCATTTTTCGAAATTTCAACAGTTTTTTTTCTCGAAAGCTCAGCGTGCTAGAAGAATTTTGTAAAAGCACTTCAAATCATAAAGTACGAAAAACTTGTTTTGTACTGTGTTATCAGAGACGAAAATTATTTTTTTCCTGTGTAAACATTTCAGGACTAACTTGAATACAAAAAAATAATAATTTTCTTCCCTTTTTCGGATACAAAAAATATACGGAAAATGCGCAATCCACAAAACAAAGGTTCCTTTGCTGGCTGGTCCTTAAAAATCATATGAGCGATTTTTTTCAGTCTCATCCTCTCAATCGGTAATACCACGGTCACAGATATCACTTATAAATTTTGGTCCCGATTATAGATTCAAAAAATTTTTGTTATTTTCATTTAATACCCAAAATCGATACTACTAAAGACGAGGATATTACATATAAATTTTGGTACCGATTTCAACCCGTTAAGACGTTTTCATAGGGTAATCTGAACTTTATCGATTTGGAAGGATATATTAAAAAAAAACCTTCACTAAAAATTTTAAAGTGTTAGTACAAAAAACCACGGAGTGATGCCACTTTTTAAAACGTTTTTTACGTAAAACAAAAAAAAATTTGGATAGGGCCTTTGTGAATGAAGGTAACGATGTGTATGTACATGTGTGTGTTGGAAAACCCGCATGAAATACCAGCGTGCCAATACGATAAGTCATATAGATACAAATGTAAATACATATGTATGTATGTAGGTATCTGTAAAAGCATGTAGGTGTATGCATGCAGGAAAAGCCTTTTCGGTCAGTTGGTGGTGTCGATCGAAATGGCATCGGTATACCCATTAAGCAATTGCTCGCCACACCAAAATACACACTCACACTGTGCTATACGCCCAGTCCACAAGTCCATAATCTCCCCGTATGTCCGTATGTTTGTTGGCCATTTGGTTTGCGCTCATTCACTGCTAATCCCTGGTGTATCGGACGTTGTTATCCCTTTTTAAGCACATTGACGCACGAAAAGATTTTCCTCACTCGTTGGTCTCGTCCATTTACTTGGTCAACGGCCGGGGCAAGAAAACTTCGCAGCTCCGACTGTGAAAGTGACTGATGTGCCTAATTTATTGCATATTCTCTTTTCTATGAATGCATACATGTGTATGTATGAATATGTGCATATGTGTAAAATTTAATGCGTGCATGTACCGAACGTTGACTCAGTGGTTGCCGTGTGTGCCTGTGTATGGGGACCTTAAGTGAATAATATGTACGTAGGTACTATGTCTGCCCTGCGTTCGGTTCGGTCGGTTTCGATGGAAAGGACTTAAATTATTGTTGCGGATTTTAATTGAGGTTTTTGCCATTCACATTTATGCGTTTCGCTCTCTATTCCCTTTCACGCTTGCGGCATCACCAATGCCAATATTTCTTTTAAAACTGCAAATGAAACTAATTTATCCAGCAAATTCTACAGGCAAGGAGAAACTACAGAAATTGCTTTTTTTCTTTGTGATATTGACATTTTTCACTTTTCGCTTCGAGTCAGGCAATTCGAGAAATGGAAAATTGAATGTATAATTACAACCGCAAAGTTATTATCATTTTCGCACCATCTCCGCATCTGATGAGTTATTTCCTATGTCCTTACCCAACAGCTCCTCTTATCCTTTTACTGCACTTATTTCTTCCTTTTCACAGTTGATTTTCGTAGATATGTTTGTCAATTTCATTTATTTCCTTTTTCCCAAAGTTTCTGCTGCATTTCGTCACAATATCGGTGTCCTTAGCGCCCTCTTTACCGCCTTCTGTTGCCTCCTGGGCCGTTTCCACTACATTCGTCTCTTTCAGCTCTTTTACATCATTTGACTCTTTTTGCTCCTTTGCCTCCGTCGCCTCGCTTATTGCCATGTCCTAAGGATGCTTCGTATAATTGTTGAGTGGCATTTCATTGACCATGGTGTGCGCCACCTCTTTGCCCCTGTCGTGTATTCCTTTGTCATGTGATTCAGCTTTTTTCTTTTGCGTCTTCAACTGTATGAAATGGGGAAAGAAATAAATACCATTAAAGAAAGAGATTTATTCAGTAAAATTTTAATTCATAGTTACGCGTCTTATTGTCTCTTCGAAATTCTGATGTGGCTCAACGCGTTTCATCGTGCTGCAGGCTTTCAACTTTTCGGAGGACTGAAAATGAAAACAGAAAAATAAAGGAGAGACGAAAAAAGTATTATTAATTAATGATTCAATTAACACAATCGATATACTCATACATACATAACTACATATGCATGTACTTTATACTAGGGCTCGTATGTCAATATATCACATTAACTTAACTGGAGGATATCATCTACATACATATGTATGTATAGCCAATACAAGAATGATAGAATACAAGTTTGCGCCGATTGCAGCACAATTCGTGACGTCATCGTAGAGTTGACACCTTAGAGCGGCGAGAATAAGGGCGATTAGTGATGTGCTGAATTGTCCCCAATACTCGGTACCCAATACTTAAAAAAGATTTCGGTACCCAATACTTCCTTTTCGGTATCCGATACCGATTCATTACATTAAACCTTCGCCATTATATGCATTTCAGGTTTAGCAAAAACTTGCATTACTAATTTAGGTCGGTGTTATGCAGACAAACTTTTGTTTGCCAAATTAAATGGCGGCTGCTTAGTTTGCTCGGAGGTGGTTATGTCGAGTTTGGCACAGGGTTGCACGTTCATTATGGTTTTCATGGTTATTGCCAACACGAAATGAGAATTTCAGATGTACATAACGCGCAAAATTTAAAATTTTTGTATATGACAGCACCGAATTTGCTGCAGTTTGACCAAACAAAATTAGTTTGCTGTGAGAGTCGCCAAACTCGCTCTCTCCGAGTTTGCTGCAACAACAATTGCACGCAGTTTGCCAAACAAAATTTCTGCATAACACCGACCTTATATGATATCGGCTAAAACACTTGAACTTATCGCAACAGGGAAATATTATTTTATCAGTTTTAACCTTAGTCGATCCAAGGTTCAAGAAAAATGAAATGAAATGAATGAATTAATGAAGAAAATGATCGGATGCAGAAGCTTTTCAGGGGGGAGACCTAACCAGTTAGCGACAAGTTTCGGATCGATATCGCACTTGTTGGCGTAAAAATATTTCATATCACACGTTATTACGTGGTTATAGAATCTGCCCCCAGGCCTCCAAAAAAGATATCGTCCGATTCAGCTGGAACCAAAATGCTTCAAACAAGTAAGGCACTCCGCACATTAAGCTCCTAATCATAGTAGTGTAATCGTTTCGGCATACTAAAGTATAAAGCTTTTATGCAGAACACATGTATGTATTTCAATGAAGCTCTGTACATTACTATTCAAAATCATGTTTTCCCCTAATCATAAAAGCTTCATGAATCGAAGCGCCCAACATTGTAAGGCGCTTGCTGTTTTGAAATCATCATTTGTTTACTTTTTTGTGTCGCAAATAAAATTTATTTGTCAATTCAATAGAAAATAATTAAAAATTAATGATTTCGTGCTAAAATTCGTGCAAATTGTATTAAACCACAAACATTTATGCAATATTACCGAGTTTGGTACAAATTGGTAGAACGGTTACCGAGATACATATATGTGATCAAAAGTGGGCAGTGTCACGCCCATTTTCCAAAATTTAATCATAAACGTATTTCTTGGTAAAGAGTTGTTACAAGCATCAATTTTGAATAAATTAGCTTTAATATTTACTGATTTATCGAAGATTTCGTATTTCTCTAAATTACCGTTATATGGTAAGTGGGCGTGGTTATCGCCCAATTTTAAAAATTTTCGGCCATGTGGTACGCAGTACCAAGGCCAACAACTGTCCCAAGTTTGGAAGAAATTGATGCAGCGGTTACTAAGAAATACACATGTAACCATAAGTGGAAGTGGCCCGATTTTCCAAAAATGTATTATATATATATCACTTTCTCAATTATATATATATCAATTTTGAGTGAATTATCTTCCGTAGTTGCTAAAATATCGCTGTTATATAGTTTTCAATAGCATGCGTCCTACGTCCGAAAGAAGTGCACGTACCAAGTTTCGTTAAGATATCTCAATTTTTACTCGAGTAATCGTGTGCACAGACGGACGGGCGGATGGACAGACAGTCACCGCTTAATCGATTTCTCTTTTCATTCTGATCATTTATGTATACATTTGTCTATATCTATATCTATCTCGATTCGCTTTGCCTGTTACAAGCAACCGTTATGTGAACAAATTTATAATACCCTTGTGCACAAGTGCGCTCGGGTATAAAACGATATAGTCCATTTGATTTAAGAAATGGACGGGAAATCAAGTAGTGTAGGGACATTTTTAATAAAAAGATATATGCTTCTTATGATAAACACCAAATATTATGTTAGAGTGATGTTCGTTTCAGAATTCTGTCACTTGAAACAAGTACTGTGTATGTATTTTTAAATTATTTATGTGGGTATTCAATCCAATGAATTTACTGGCTTAGTTTTCAAACTTGAAATTATATTAGCTGTCAAATCTTGTAAAACCGGATCACCCGAAGGGTATAGTATTAGTAATAAATATAAAAAACGACAACATCAGAACATCACCAATATAATTTTTTACGCCGACAAGTTAAGGACAAGTTGGGGCGGCTTGGCGTACAAGTATTAACCTTACCCCTGAGCAGCGTTGCCAGGTTGACGTTTTTAACATCATTTGGACGTTTTTTGTATCCTGTTGACGTTTCGACGTTTTTTGTGTAAAAAATTGCATTTTTTAACTTCCCAGTAATATTTCTCTGTTACTAAATCTTGTAAGTAGAACTGATTTTGAATTATTTTCCTAATAAATCTTTACAAGCTTTGTTTTACAACAACAGATGCTTCAAAAAAATATATGTTTTTTGGACACAGATGACAATCCTTGTTTAAGCGCATAAAGCAAATTACACAATTAGTCGCATGGGGCCCTTATTGAAAATTTAATGAACGTAAAAAGACTGAAATATTGCTAACATTTCTTAACAGAACGTAATTTAGCATTTTCGACAACATACCACTTAACCAACTATTTACAAGAAAAAAAAAAATATTAGAAATCAACGCGATTCCTTAGCATCTTAAAACTTGCACATTATTGCCCTGAAATTTAATGGGCTATCAACCTGCATAATCTGAATAAAAAGTTGAATCAGATTTTTTATAATTTTAGCACATAGTTTGAAATGTGGATTTATATTTTGTTTGTTATATAATGAGCTAGGCTTTTATGGAAAAATAATAAACATTAAATAAACAAAAAAGAAAGAGCCAAAATCGATGACTTAATCAGCTGATCACAAGTGCATGTATAAAATGATTTTTATATTAACGATCTCAAACCAGTTTAGAATGAATTTTAAATGTGACAGAGCAAATGACGTTATAATATCTATACCTTACGCACATATGTACCTTTGCATACAATAAAAGTTTAATAAGAACAATTCTTTGTGCATACATTTGAAAAAGACGTTTTTGGGTAGGAAATGACGTTTTTTCAGATAAAGAGGGACGTTTTCTCATGCCGAAGACCTGGCAACACTGCCCCTGAGGTTGTGGCGTACTCCGTTCACCTGCCGACATATCTTTGATGGTCTTCACCTATTTCGCTACAATATGTATTTGAATTTATGTAAATGGATCAAAAAACCCTTATATTTGATGTTCTGATTCTGTGGAAAGAATCTCATACATATTAGAATATTGTCGAGTGGCTAACCTTAAAGTGTAAAAGGATCGATTTCACTGCCGAAATTAAAACATACTGCAGTATATGAGATTACACTTAGCCAAATTCGACGAAAATATATTTAATTTTAAGTTGCTGCTGCTGCCGCCCGCCACAAAATCAGTTGTGAGTGATAAAATAGTTTTGTTTCTTCACTTCTCTAGCAGATAATTTATCACGAATAGGCATAATTTCCCGACTAATTTTTTACTAGGAAAAATGTTGTGGCAAATATTACCCGATGGCATCGCTGTTTATACTTTTAAGTTGTTACAAATTTTAGCGCAATTCTTCTTTTTGCTTTAAATTTGTTGGGCCTTTCATGTTCTTTTATTGAAGACTTTAATAATTGTCAATTTTGTCGATTAATGCAAACCCCCATGTCCGTGCAAATCGATACACCCTGTCGATGTTGTTGGAGTTCTCTTTTCACATTTAAGCCGCAAGGCCTAATTTCTTTTATTTTGCAATTTTCGCTTAAATTCTTGTAGTCCTTCCAACAGCTACAGAAAAAAACTATTTCAACAACAGCCACTTAAAAATTCTTTGTCACAAACATTATTATAAAGAAGGCCTAATAACTAAGTAATGAGATCAGCTTTGTATTTGCCCTCTCCAGGCAGTGGAATAGGGAAACTTTGTAAGGGAAATAAAATCGACCATACACAATATTAGTGTTAAAACACGATAAAAATAATAATCCAAGCGACACCTGAAACAAGCAAACAACAGCAGAAGCACATTTATTTTAACGTTTCTAAACACTTGGGTCTCTCGACCGCAGCTTTGGTAGTTTACTCACTCGCTAACCCACTTGTCCACTGAGATACTCACTTGATGCCGCAGCCGCTGGGAAAGATCCGCCATTCAAATAAAGATTGAAAGAAAAAAACCAAAAGAACGAGTACTACAAATTGACTAACCAGAAAATGTAAAAAAAAATGCTCCAACTAATACTTCCGCTGCAGACCACGTAATGAGCAAAATTCCATGGCATTTAAGCACAGTTTTAAAACAACAAACAACTCTTCCTTCACTCATACTGCAAAATTCGCAACACTTGTTATACAGTTTAATTCAACTTTAGCAACTATGCACCTTCACCTGTTTGGATTTTCTTTCGCTTCATACAACAAGAGGATGCAGGCGAGGTGACTATACAGTGCAACAACAATAGTAGCAATAATAAATATGACAAGAACAATACCAACCAGTGTGAATGAAAATGAAAGGCAGCTACAAAGGGAACTCCCGCCAAAGAGACTGAAATGGAGTAGCTTTAGAAATTAAACTGCTGCCATGTACCGCCAACAGCAACTGTGAAGAAGACAACAATGTTGGAAGTTCTCTGACCAGAGTGGTACTCGTAGTAGGAAACGCAGACCAAGT